ATCCAAGCACATATTACCCATGTGCCAAACTGCTTTGTATTCACAAAACAACATCATGTAAAGCTGTTTCTGTGGAAATACCTGCCTGATATGCATGCTGTTTAGGACTTAAAGGTGAAATACCATCTCTTGCAGGTCTATCTATCAACCTCTCAATTCCAATCAGCAAGAAAGATGTTAAGCCGATTGGTCTGAAAGATTTCACTTATCTTTATGTTGGCTTGCTTAATACATTTGCTAGCTTCATACAGTGGTGTGCTGCAGTCAGTCACACATGTGATAATATTATACTTAGACAAATTTTAAACATCACCATTAAGATACAGAATCGATTGCTCAAGTGATAAAAATACACACAAAGACACACACGATAGATGCATCAATCTAAGCATGAAAGCACAGGTAAAAACACCAACTATTTTAACAATTCCACTCACTTTCCAAGTCTGTAGAACATCTTGACAGTCCAGCCAAAGTTTCAACTGACGTTCCTGTGATTCCTGAAGTCAGATGTGTCAAAATTCCTTCTAGAAACATCTTTTTCTGTTATGGTATTAACACAGTAACCATTGTCTCCTCTCAAATGATTGTCTGATCATTTGAGAGTGTGTATGTAAACAACATGCATGGAGGACCCATTAAGCTAATTTTAAAACCTTCATTAACGCTGTGGCGAAACATGAGCAGATCTGAGCGTCTGTTCAGGATATGTGTGCTGGAATATGTGTGCTACATAATGAGGTGTGTGTACACATGATGGGATGATTGAAGCAGAGAGGATTAAGCAGTAATTATCAACAAAATAAAAAAGGGTCAAWAACAGAAAGATGCTTCAACATGAACCCAAAGGTAGCCAAACAAATGTACATTTTAACTTCCACTAACACACGCACACACACAGCTTCATCATTTTGTGTACCCTGGCTCAGAAAGAAAACTGTCTTTGTTTGAACTCAGTCACACTGCATTTGCCACCGGCAACATTCATCATTAATTATTTGAGTCAGCATTTCCGGTTTACTGCTAAAGACTGGCATTTATCCATAGTGGCACGGGTTGCTTTTGTGCAGATAAACTACTTATTAAATTAAGGATAGTTTCAAGCATCAAAAGCATGATAATGAATAAACTAGACACATAAGTTAGGTTTGGCGTGTAGCTTTTATATAGTGGGTGGATTTTTGAATGTAATACTAGGCACATGGAAGAGATGAAGCGATGAGTGTASAGAGACTGGAGTAAATCAGGGGTTCTCAAAGTTTTAAACAAAATTCTTTTCAGAGAAAGTAAGGAACTGTCATCTATTTGCTAAGTTTAGATCAGGTCTTGGATATTCATCAATTTATAAATATGTTGGAAACTAGGTATTGAAGTGCCTTAATTCAATTGTTCTCAACCTTTTTTTAAGATGCAGGCTACTTGCACGGAATATTATTTTGTTATAATTATTATTGCATCAAACATGTTTTTTTAAAAAAGCACATCACTGAATGACAACGAGATTTATTAATTTCACACTGAGTAAAATAGCCAYGTGAATAGAAATTATATTTACAGGTCCATCCATCCATCCATTTTCTTATGCTTATCAGGGGTCAGGTCTCGGGGGCAGCAGTCTAAGCAGAGAGACCCAGAGTTCCCAATCCCCAGCCACTTGGACCAGCTCCTCTGGAGGGAATCCCAAGGCGTTCCCAGGCCAGCTGAGAAACATAGTCCCTCCCACGTGTCCTGGGTCTTCCTCTGGGTCTCCTCCCAGTGGGACATACCCGGAACACCTCACCAGGGAGGCGTCCAGGAGGCATCCTTACCAGATGCCCGAGCCACCTCAACTGGCTCCTCTCGATGTGGAGGAAGCTTATTTAGGCTGCTTGTATCCATGATCTCGATCTCATTCTTTCAGTAACTAACCAATGCTTGTGATCATAGATGAGGGTTGGAACGTAGATAGACTGGTAAATTGAGAGCTTCACCTTCTGGCTCAGCTCTTGCCACAACAGATTGGTACAGCGCCTGCATCACTGCAGACGCTGTACCAATCTACCTATCAATCTCCCGCWCCATTCTTCCCTAATTCATGAACAAGACCACAAGATACTTAAACTCCTCCACTTGAGGCGGAGCCTCTTTCCCGACCTGGAGGAGGCACTCTAGACCATGGTCTTGGATTTGGAGGCACTGATCCGCATTCCGGCTGCTTCACATTTGGCTGTGAACCACTCCAGTGAGTGCTGGAGACCATGATCTCATGAAGCCAATAGGACCACATCATCTGCAAAAAGCAGAGATGTGATCCTAAGGTCACTAAATCATATCCTCTCAACATCTTGGCTGCTCCTACAAATTCTGTCCATAAAAGTTGTGAACAAAATCGGTGACAAAGGGCAACCTTGGTGGAGTCCAACTCTCACTGGAAACAAGCCCGACTTACTGCCAGCAATGCAAACCAAGCTCTGACATCGGTCGTACAGGGACCTAACAGTCCGTATCAATAGGCCTGGTACCCCATACTCCCAGAGTACCCCCCACAAGACTCCCTAAGGGACACGGTTGAACGCCTTCTCCAATTCAACAAAACCCATGWAGACTGGTTGAGAGAACTCCCATGCACCCTCTAGGACCCTGTTGAGAGTGTAGTCCTGGTCCAGTGTTCCACGACTAGGACAAAAACCACACTGCTTTTCCTGAGTCCATGATTCAACTATCTGATGGACCCTCCTCTCCAGGACCCCTGAATAGACCTTACCAGGAAGGCTAAGGAGTGTGACCACCTGCTGGTTAAACACACTCTGTGGTTCTCTTTTTAAATAGGGGGACCACCACCCTGGTCTGCCAAACCAGGGGAACTGCCCCCGATGTCCACACAATATGCACAATATCCACACATAATGCATCAACCAACACAACCCCACAACATCCAGAGCCTTAAGGAACTCCGGGTGAATCTCATCCACCCCCGCTGCCCTTCCACCGAGAAGCTTTTTAACCACCTCGGTGACCTCTGCACCAAAGATTGGAGAGTCCGACCCAGGGTCCCCAGGCTCTGCTTCCTCATGGGAAGATGTGCTGGTGGGATTGAGGAAGTCTTTGAAGTATTCTGCCCACCGACCCACAATGTCTCAAGTTGAGGTCAGCAGTGTACCATCCCCACTATAAACAGTGTTGGTGGTGAACCGCTTTCCCCTCCTGAGATGTTGGATGGTGGACCAGAATCACCTCAAAGCTGTTCGGAATTCTTTCTCCATGGCCACGCTCCCCCCACATCCAAGTTTTTGCCTCAACGACCACCAAAGCTGCAATCCACTTGGACTGCCRGTACCCATCAGCTGCTTCCAGAGTCCTACAGGCTGGAAAAAAAAACTGATAGGCTTCCTTCTTCAACCTGACAGCATCCCTTACTGCCGCTGTCCACCAGTGGGTTTGAGGGTTAAATAATGTTATTTTCTACTTTAAAAGAAAGCAAGAGATTACGGAGCCCGCGAGGGGACATGGGGAGATTTGTTTTCTTTTGCATTCCCACGCAATAGTATTGCRTTACCTCGCAATACTTTTGACTTACCTCGCAAAATTGTTTTGTTTACCCACACAAAAGATTGTTTTGCATATGAACTGAATTAAATCAGACTTTTATTTTGAAATATCCAGTTGCCGAAACAGGATGTGTCACCACAAGTTACTGAAATTGACATTGATGTTGCGTGGCTGCACTGTGTTAAAATATGTGACATACTTCCATGCGTGGTTGTGTAATATATTCATTCTGAAGCTGAATTAAAGCAGTAGGCTAACTCGCTAATGATAAACATGTGAGTTTGTTAATTAACCGGCAGGCTCAACAGTGATAAACTACTTTTGCGAGGGAACGCAAAAGGTATTGCTAGGTAACACAATGCTATTGCGTGGGAACGCAAAAAAAAAAAAAATCTCCCATGTTCCCTCGCGGGCTCCTTAAGAGACAATCATTTAAGAAAAATATGAAAAAAAGAAAATGTTGCCATAATTTGAAAATTTTAGCGCTACAGGTTAGGGGTAGCAAAACAAGCAGTAACGTACTGCTAAGAGGATTTGGCACATTTCTAACAATCTACCAATGTAAAGTAGAAATACTGCCACTAATTTTGATGTGTGACTATATCACTTACATAAGTATTTTATATCAACTATATTAGTATTTTATATCACCTATATTAATATTTTGACAAGTGAAAATATGTTTAACAATTAAAAAGTCGGGCTAGATATAAAATTATTTTGCCACATTTCCAAATATTTTAATCTAAATTAATTAATATTTATGAAATAAACATATTATACCTTAATACCAACATATTACGATTAATTTAGGACATAAAAGATGTTCTTTAGATACTCTTAGAACAGTACATAGCCAAACCCTAATTAGGATTTGGCTTAAAATTATTGGGGGTACCATCAGTCTGAAGACAATTGAAGGAATTCCTGTACTGTAATTTTTGTACAGCAGGCTTAAAATAACCAGRAAACATTTTTTATTTTTTAAAAATAAAATAGGTTGTAGCTTTAAGTATTTGGTCCTATCATCTCTGAGCAGGACTCAGTTAACATCCTATCATGTTACAAAGAGACCATCGAAGGGAGTTTTTGTTCAGCATTACTCACTTAAAGCATGTTTCTAGGAAGTTTTTTGTAAAATATCAAAATATAATAATTTAAATAATAAAGTCAACAGTGTGGGATTCACTGACTGATTCTAGTTTTTCAGGTGAACCAGGACCAAACTGCTGAGTCTCTCTTTTGTTCTGCCAATCAATGAAAACCAGTGATGTTAAAGAGATGGGTTGTTTTAGTGAATTTGTTTTAAGCAGATAAACATAAAATGTGCTTGAATTTAAGTGATTTGGGACAACAAACAAACAAAGAAACAAACAAAAAATAASATATGCAAACAGGTCCTGTCCCTTTAAAAGGAGAACCTGTCCTTAGAATAAAGAATGAAGAGTTGAATGAGACACGGATTGACTCACCACTGCGGACATCATCCTGAAGTAAAACACGCGAGGATCGAGCAGATGTCCTCAGTAACACTTCTCATAAATGTTCATCATCATCATCATCATCATCATCATCATCATCATCTTTCTGTCTCTCCGTGAAGCGCCGGAGCTGAGGAGCGGAGCGGAGCTAAGAGGCAGCGGCCTTTTATAGTCAGAGTGTCCGGGTGGAGAGGCTTCTGGAGGCGGACGGACGCCCTTCTTCATGCCCATAGCGGTGATGACAGACGTCCCGACGGCCCGGCCGGCCCATCACCGGTCGCTGAGCAGTGCGGGGATGGGTCCTCTTCACAGAAAGCTCCACGAACAGCGCAGCGATGACGCATGTGGGGGCGGGGCTTACAGACGCGTCTCGTCCTATCGCAGGAGCCCGCATGTGGCTGAAGAAAGAGGTGATTCCTGGTCTGACTTCACATTTTGGGAAAATGAAGGGATAGTTCAGATATTTTCACATTGAAGTGTTCCATGTGTTTCAGTCTGTTAGCAAAATATCCCATTAACTACTGGATGAATGTTAATAAAACTTGAAGAAAGTAATTATAGTATGGACATCTACAACTCATTAACTTTTGGACAGTGTTGTATAAAGTACCTCAAAGTGATACTTGAGTAAAAGTACAAGTATCTTATCATAAAAACACTTTGGTAAATGTTAAAGTCTTCTCTAAAAATATTACTTGAGTAAAAGTCTTAAAGTGTCTGATTTTTTTTTTACTTAAGTATCAAAAGTAAATTTCTGACACAAAATATACTTTAGTATTAAAAGTAAAAGTACTGAGTAAAAGTGAGCAGTTAGATTTTCAAAATTACATTCATTGGGAGGTGACTTCTCCAAAAAATATATTTTTAACAGTGTGCAGCTGTGATGGGTTGTGTACAAGCTAATACTGCGTCAGAATGGTATATATTTATACTTCTCATCCAACCACAATTAAATTCACTCTATGCAGGAGAGACAATTTATCAGGATAATATTTTTTAAGTAATAACAACTCGGAATAAAATGAGTAAAGACTTTCTACTTCTTAACTTTTTTAAAAAATGTAGTGAATAGAAAGTACAGATAATTGTGTAAAAATGTAATAGGTAAAAGTAAAAATTATGCTGAAAAATAATTACTCAAGTACAGATTACCAAAATTTCTACTTAAAGGCACAGTGTGTAGGATTTGTTGTTTTCAGCGACATCTAGTGGTTGAGTGGTTGAATCATCCTCCCTGGTCCTCCCCCCACCCCCACCCCCGCTTCCAAACACAAAGGAGTTGCTACGGTGTCTCTCAGGTGTCAAAAACCTTTGATAATTCCAACCGCGATGTCTACCAGCAGCTTCAGGGCTAGTGATGTTTCAAGTGGTAAGATTATGAGCTTTAATAAGTAAAATTATCCCAGCTACAATGACAGACAACAAATATTACATTTATAGTATTACAACTAAAGCCGTTTTTGACGCCGCCACCGCAGTTTGTCCTTCATGAGCCTTTGTAGACAAGATGGCGGTGCAAGATGGCGGCTGCCTGTACTGGCGACCCGCGACCATGGAGATATAAACAGATTTTTATAAGGTAAAAATAATAAAACAAGGTCTTTGTCTGCAATGATGACTATGTTTTTTATTATTGTCATTAGTGATTATCTCAATTTCGGCTAAAAGAATTGACAAAATCCCACACACTGTGCCTTTAAGTACAGTAACAAAGTATTTGTACTTAGTTACTTTACAACTCTGCTTTTGGAGCCAGCCTGTTTCAAACTGGTCCCCACAGCTAATTAAGCTTTAAAAAAAGGCTATAACTGTCAGTTTTACACATACTGAGCTAAAATTTGGCATGATAGTAGCTGAGACTGCATGAAGCTGTATTGATTATCTGTAAATTACACAGATTGCAGGTATAGGGACGTATAGCAAAATCTCATGGATTTTTTTTCTCCAAATCTCACAAATTAAAAAAAAATGCAGCTTCAAATTTATTTTAACAAATTAAAAAAACAGCTTTAAATTTATTTTGTCTCAGAGCCTGTAGAACATTTAAAATAAATAAAAGTAAATAAACATCTCCCAACCCACTCTGCCGCTCAGAATAAACTCTCCACCTCTCTCTCTTGAAAGTCATAACTACTATATGTTCATATTTTACACAGTACATCAGAAATACATAAATAAARACAGCTTGTTTGTTTTTAGAAATTGGAAAAATGGCAGCCAGTATCCACTGCATCACTTTTCAAAGTTTGCTGATCCTGTCTCTCCTTAGCAGTGATGACCCTGACCATGGACTGGTGATCAGGGTCTTCACTGAATGGTGTCAATCTTCTTTTTTACAGTTAAATGTTTCAAAAACTAATGAGATGTTCATTGGTTTAAGAAAATACTCTTTGGTTGCCACTCCTGTGGTAATTAATGGTGAAGCTGTTGAAGTCGTTCACCAGTATAACTATCTATCTGGGAACTATTCTGGATGACAAACTGAATTTTGAMGCTCATGTGAACTCACTCTGTAAGAAGGCCCATCAGAGAATGTATTTTTATCTGAAGCTCTGTGGTTTTAATGTTGATTCTACTTTTATGAAAATGTTTCATTCGTGTTTTTGCTTCTCTTTTTTGTTGGTTTGGCATTTTAACATGGAAGAAGAAGAGTATYTTCTGACAGTGTTTGGTCGTTCTGATTTATGGCATTGTTTCAGAATCTTACTATCAAACTCTGAAAGTAAAAAACATCTCACACTGTGAAATTTACTTAATATTTCACCAAAATACTCACATTGGGTGTGCCAWTCTCACTCATTGGGCYTCATGCAAGAAATGTTCGTATTCTTGTCCTAAATTTCTCTTACTTTTGTTCGTATGAAGGGTTCTTACGAACATGTCATGTCAGATTCAACAAACTCTTCTATCTTCAGGAAAAGTGTGTAAGTGAGGAGCGTAAACTGATGAATGTGTATCAGCTGCTCGTGCACGAGGAGAGGAGATTTACATAATTACCACCCCAAAAACACCATATAAGGATATATGTTTCCTGCCCCACATACCAGGAAGTGTTCATTCATGAATGACATCGCAAAGTAAAAAAGAAGAACTTTACGAGTTCAGAGATTGAAGTTCTGYTCTCAGAGATCCACAAAAAAATGTCATTTTTAGCAGCGTCAGCTGTGGAATTAAAGGATCTGCTTTAAACTCAAGGAATGAAATGACTGCTGTTAATGTCGTGTCTCCTGTGGGTCGTACAGTCACAGAAATAAAAATCTAAATCATATTTATCTCTCTCTGTAGTCCTGCTCCGGTTTTTCTTTGGTCAAATATTTTTAATTTCAGTGTAAACAACTGTGTTACAGGTTTCACTTATTCAGAGGCGCAGTCGCGCACCGCTACCCCCTGCAAGTGTCAGATACGTTTCTGAAAAAACATTTTAAAATGTCTCAAAACTTCAATCAACTTCATAATAATATTGTAGTGCTATACAACAAAACTGAAAGCCAATTTATTTTAATTTAACCAATTTGTCATTAGTTTACATTATTACATTTAAAATTATAATTCTAATTCAAACAGAATAGACTCTTGTCAACAWAWTTATRGAGTGTGATTTATTTTCAACTCAAAATATCTTCAAACTAATGAAATATAAAGTTATTAATGAAGAAAACCCGTCTGGATAACAGCAGACTGACTGCTCGTAAAATATACGACAGGTCTGGACCACTCGGGAATTTTGTTCGTATCTGAAAAAATCGCAGAATACGAAAACATTGGTGAATGTCACAAATTCTCCTAAATCACTCGTACGCACAACTTAAGAACAAATCTGTGCGTACGAACGGTTCTTGCATGAGGCCCATTGTCTTTTAGTTGAGGCCCATTAGTGCTATCTGTGTAGCAACTCAAAAAATGTTAACACAGATCACTTGAAGTCCAATAAATACATTTTAATGTATTCATTACTTTTAGGCTTTTGCATTGACATAATTTTTGAGTTGCATGTTTATTTTTATATAAATGGAATTATATAATAACTCTATGAGATTCTCCGTGTCATTTCTGTATGAGGCATCAAGAGTAAAATACAATGTTAAAAAATGTCACCATCAATTCTGTTAAAAATTTCCACAAACATTTTATTATTAAGCTCACTGTTCTCATGTTTTACTAATTTTTACTAAATGTTAAATAATGTGTAAATATTAAACACTAAAAGTGAAAATCTAAATGTAAACAAAAAGCTAAATCTTGAAGTTGGTGTTCTATTTCAGAGTGGAACACAGCCTTCGTTGTTTCTGCTCACTAACTGTCATTTAGCAAAAAAAACATCAATAGCCAGTTTCAAGATGAGTTAGGGTGGGTGTCCATAAGGAGGTGGAGCATAACAGGTGGGACCAGAGATGATAAGCAGAGACTGAGTGTTGTCCAAACATCTGTTTCAGGAGATGAAGCATGGATGCAGGGGACACAGGAAAAGGGAACTGAAGATCTAACAGGTCTCAGAGGTGAGCACTCACAAGGAGAGCTGGAAAAAAACATAAAGGTTTAGTTTCACAAACTAGTTATATCACAAGAAGCTGAGATAAGAAAACAACTCAGTGACTGCAGACTGAAATCGCCAAGGTAATACAACGCTCTAACGCAGGTCCGAGACAAGACCTCTGCTTAAATCCAGTCTCAGCTCATCAGCACACCTGTGGGGTGAAGAGGAGCACACCTGTGGCTCATGAGAAAGTGATCAGAGGCAGGAACAGCAATTGAAATCCTCACAGCCTTATTGAAAGAGCAAACTGTTTTAGAGACTGACTTTGTGTTTTCTCTAGATAGTCAAGTTTTATATGTTCTCAACTCTCAGAAGAACTGATTAGTCCAAGAGATAGACCATGTTTATCAGCATAAAAAGTACCAGCAAGTTTGATGGTACCCCATTAAAGTACATCCCTTCCAGGTATAAAAAACCCATTTCTTCCAAAATTTCTCCCGCACACAAAGTCAAAATTCAAGATTAATGCTAAAAATCATGGCTTTGGCTATGTCTATATAATATCTGACCATAATTTCCAGATCTTTTGCTTCAGATCTGTTTTTTGGCTCCAAAATGTTAAAAACTGGTTGCTTAATTAAATACACGTAACTAATATTAAACTTATAAAGACATTTACAGCTGGCATCCACAAAAAGTGTCAAAAATTGAGCTTATTTAGAAAATTTGGTCATGTACTTTCCCCAAGTGTTCTGTCAATATTTCCTAAACTGGCACCAAACTGCACCAAAATATCTTCAGACACTCTATTAATTAAAAAAACATAAGATGTACAGTGTCATATTTTTTCATTCTGGAAGCAAACAAATGACGCCAACCCTCTAAATTATTGATATATGCCAAATTTCAAAAACTGTACATATACAGTATATA